GCTGGATCCTCTGAGGACCCGGTCTCTGGTCAGACCGGTGGAAGGCCTCATCATCTCAGGATACTTGGCACCGACGGTGACAAAAACCCAAAAATGAACCCAAACTGAAGGACCAAAGGTTTTGGTTTCAACAGGAACCATCCGGGACGCCACGACGGTGACATCAGCATCTGATACCACACGGGAACCGGATCACCGGATCACCGGCTTCAAGGTTCTGACAAACGGTTCTGATCTTTTTGTTTTAAAGATCAAATCAGAAGAATTCTGCTTTGGTTTCAGTCTGAAGACGAAAATATCATGAATAGGAATCAAAGGACGTGGACATCTATGAAGTATCTCGAGGTGTTGTGAAGTATCTCCAGGTGTTGTGAAGTATCTCGAGGTGTTGTGAAGTATCTCCAGGTGTTGTGAAGTATCTCGAGGTGTTGTGAAGTATCTCCAGGTGTTGTGAAGTATCTCCAGGTGTTGTGAAGTATCTCCAGGTGTTGTGAAGTATCTCCAGGTGTTGTGAAGTATCTCGTTCCCTTGTGATATCAGATGCTCTCTGAAAGTTCCTCAGACAGACTCATCATCTCTCATCTCAATAATCTCAAAAATAAACTCTAATCTCAGTCATTCATAAAGGCTGAAGTGGCTGTAAGGCTGTCAGGAGGAGAGGAGGTGACCACAGGCTGGAGGAGAAAGAGGAGGAGGAGGAGTTAGCAGTGTGTTTGTGTGGTGTTTTATCCGGTGCCTGTGCCGGGCTGGACGGGTGGAGTCGGTTCAACCATGACCATCACTGGAGAAGGGGCGGAGTCACATCTCTGTGGGTGGAGCAGACAGGGACAATGTTACATGGTGAGGTGATGTCATGTGGACCAAACTACCAAAATAAGAGCACAGATTTTCTTCAAATGTAAAGTCAATGAAAACTATGACAAAAAAGACTTGTTACATGTATAAAAAGGAAAACTAGTTTACACATTAGACATCACATGACTCTTCTCATAAGGTGGAAGTTATTACTCGTCAGCCTAGACACCAAATATTATACATTCACATCATAATCCATCCTGAGCTGAGTTCGAATTTAACAAAAAAAATGTAAACATAAAACCTTTAAGTTACTAGGGGGCTGCCCAGAACGGGGATCGAACCCTGAACCCGATTACAGGACATAAAACGTTAACAAATGCACTAATGAGACTAAAAGACTGAGAACAAGGCATCAGGATCTGTGTGTGTGTGTGTTCTTGTAGTTCTATCTTTCTGAGGACCCTTCTCTGAGCATGGACAGTTTGTCTCATCCTCACTTTTGGGACAAACCTTCAGGTGTCTGAGGGTTCAGACCTGGTTTAAGGTCCAACTCAGGTTGAGGTTTAGTTTAGGTCCTCGCAAGTACAGAAGTACACCTGTGTGTGTGTGTGTGTGTGTGCGTGTGCGTGTGCGTGTGTGTGTGTGTGTTAGTTACCTGGCTCAGCTCGATGCTCTCAGGTGTGTGACCTTTAGCACCTCTGACACCATTCAGAGTGGGCGGAGTCTCCCAGCTCGTTGACTTTCTGCAGAAGAAGCTGAACCCAGAACAGAGTGAGGATGATGACGATGATGATGATGAAGGTGATGAAGGTGATGATGATGATGAATGGTGATGATGAAGGCCTTACCTGCGTCTGTATCCCAGCAGGATGAGCAGCAGGCAGCAGAGGATGCAGGCAAAGCCGCTGTGAACGCCGACCAGCAGAGCGGACATGGAGCCGTGGGGCTGATCACAGTTACAGCTGGGACCAGTGGGACCAGTGGGACCAGCTGGTTGAGACAACAAGCAGGTTAAACTGGTTCCACTGGTTTGTTCACGGGTCACAGAGAGGTCAGAGGTCATGGTGAGGCCCCTACCTGCTGCACTGTTTCCTCCCTCAGACAGAGACACGAGGCGGCAGTTGGCCGGACCGTCTCCGTTCCCGTTAAACGCCACCAGCTGGATCTCATAAACCGCTGCCGGCTCTGCAGGAAGAAAAACAAAACAGTCAAACAGGCTAACGACTAGCTTAGCATAAACACTGGAGGCAGGGTGAAACTGCAGCCTTAAAACAGCTAGCATACTCAATGTTGTTTATAGCTTGGTGTTGTTAGCTGGTTATTGGTAGCTGATGTTGTTACAGCTACATGTCCGATGCTAAGCTAGTTATTTTACTTTTTAGTCATATTTATCAGTTATTATTTTTGTTTAGTTCTCAACTTATTCCAAGATGGCTACCCCACTGTTAGCCTCGTCCTCATACCTTTTAGAAAGTTAGCCACTGATGTTAAATATTTAGCATTAGCGACTGTTTGTTTATTTAGTTGACACTTCTGTCGTTCTTTTAAATCTAAATTCATTTTATTTCTCCACTGGGCTGTTCGTTAATACACTGAACTTGTATTAGCATTATATTAAATGTTTAGCCTAGCTTAGCACAAAGAACTGGAAGCAGGGGAAAACTACTAGTCTTCCAACAACCACAAAGTATTCAACAGCGTTTTATTGTTTTTTATCATATTATGTTTGATGACATGCTAGCTTCAGGCTAATGTTTTAACTAGTTTTAATGTTGTAACTACCCATTAGGCTGCTAGTGAGACACAGTTAGCCACACAGTAACCATTATCCAGCTAAGTAAACATCAGCATAATAGCAACAAGCTAAATCAAATAGCTTGTAGTTGTTCACTGATCAGAAAAATGTAAAAGGAGACATTAGCAATTTAGCATTGGAGCTATTGGTTTGTTTGTTTGTTGCAGAATCTTGTTTACTACACCAGCTGACTGCTGGACTGGTTAGTTAACTAACTAACTGGATAACTAACTGTGAATTGTTGCACTGTTCCTTTAACTGACCCAGGTGGGAGATGGTGTGGGTATTGATGTGTCCCGGGAAGGTCTCCTGCCCGTGGACTTCTGGGTTGGAAACCCCACGGTACTCCAGTCTGAAGCCCTCCAGCTTCCCTGGCTTACTGGGCAGCTCCCAGTACACCTGCATGGCCGTCTGGTTCAGGACCTTAGTGAAGAAACTGGGAGAACTGGGAACTGTGGGACAGACAGAGACAGACTATTTACATGTAGAACGATATTTAAGGTGGACAGCGTCAAAGTGTTTAAGGTGGACAGATTTAAAGTGTTTAAGGTGGACAGTTTTTTAAGGTGGACATTGTTTTAATGTGGACATTGTTTTAAGGTGGACGTACCGCCCCCCTGTGTGGTGGCAGTGATGGCATTGGACTGCTGGCTTCCTCCCAAAGCGGAGTAGGCCTTCAGGTAGACGGAGTAGGTGGTGGCTGCTTCCAGGTTCATGAACTCGTGTCTGAAGGTGGTCTTACTGATGGCCTCCTGCAGCTCGGCACTGTCTGGCTCTGAAGAAGTCAGAGGTCAGAAGTCAGAGAGAACAACAAAAACAAAACAAGTCCTGCTGAACCTGGTCTCCTGTCAGGTCCCTTACCCCCCAGGCGTCTGATGTGCAGCACGTATCCTATGATCTGCTGGCTGACGTGTTCCGCCGGCTGGTCCCAGACCAGCTCCAGGCTGCTGGAGCTGAGGGCCGAGGCCTGGAGGCCGGTGGGGGCCTCGGGGAGGTCGGGCCCCTGGCTGATGGCGAGCCGGGCGCTGGCCTGGTTGGTGCCGGCGCTGTTCTCGGCGATGCACTGATAGATGGCCTCGTCCTGGGGGGTAATCCGGGTGATGGCCAGAGTCCTGCGGAGACAGAGAGCAGGATTCTTTCACATACCAGTCTCTAGTCCGGTACGATGATGATGATGATGATGATTCCTCCTCCTCCTCCTCCTCCTCCTCCTCCTCCTCC